CGGTTGTCGCGATAACCGCGAAAACCACCCCTCTCCTTCGCATGTACATGGCCACACATGTGAAACAGCATGAACAGGAGATGAGTCGCCGCCCACCCCGCAACATCCGCGGATGTCGCGACTTCCGCTGTTGTGCGATGGGGGCGGAGTAGACAGAAAGAACTGCAACTGTGTCTGCAAATATTCCCTTTCTTTCTTAAACTAGTTAAACGCGTTTAACGAGTGTTACTCGTTTTCGTTGCATCCCCTTCATTGTTTTGATCTGACCGACGCCCAGCAGCTGGGCGCTCTCTCCCCTTGCCTCTTTCTTTACCCACAATAAAATCCGATCTTTCACCAAATCGTTGGAGGTCTGCTCCAGTGCCCAAAAATGATTTTTTTTTATTCTTGGCGCGTAGCTCGCGCGTAGCTCACGCGCGGACTACACGTTTATCTCGTTCTACGCGTGCTACGCGTTTCGGACTCATCTCCGGAGATGAGTTGCCGCCCACCCCGCAACATCCGCGGACATCACGACTTCCGTGGATGTCGTGGAACACTGTGGATGTCGTGATTACCTGCGGATGTCGCAGTTGGCTGGCGACTCATCTCCTCTGGAAAATTTTGATGGCAGGCCGCTGGCTATCAAGGGGATGCAACGAAAACGCGTAACACTCGTTAAACGCGTTTAACCAGTTTAACTAGTAAAACACTGATTAAACTCGTTTAACGACCTGCCCACTCGTTGAACGTGTGGGCCACTTGTGAAACGAGTGGAGAATGTGTGAAACGAGTAGAGAACGCGTGAAACGAGTAGCAAACGCGTGAAACGAGTAGAGAACGTGTGGAACGAGTAAAACCCGCGTGGAACGAGTAAAAAATGCGTAAATAACGAGTAAAACGAGTAAATAACGAGTTAAAGGAGTAAAAAAACGCCTAAAAAACGAGTAAAATGACCACAAACCACCTGTGGCAACACTGATTAAACGCTTTAAACTAGTTAAACGCGTTTAACGAGTGTTACTCGTTTTCGTTGCATCCCCCAAGGCAAGCGAGAAAACTGGCGGACATCGCGGCCGGCGACTCATCCCCTTACGCTACAAGTGGTGAGGTGGACAGCGCACTGTAGCGCCCTATGTCGTACGTCAACTTGTAGCCCATGGTTTATTTGGTCTGGAAATTTAATGGCAGGCCGCTGGCTATGGGGATGCAACGACAACGCGTAGAACTATAACTCGTAAAACTAGTGGAACTCGTGGAACTAGTTTTCTACTCGTGGCTACTCGTGAACACAGCAATGGCTTGTCGTACAGTCCTCATTCTGCTCATTCACGAAGGCCCGTTGCCTGGCAGAGCAACAGGCACCTTTGGCAGCCGTGGAGCTTTCAAGGCAAGTGAGTTTTCCTGAATACGTCATCGGCTTCCACGTGGGTTAGTGAGCTATTCGTGTTTCGAGTTTTAGGAGTGTTACGAGTTAAACTAGTTCTACGCGTTGTCGTTGCATCCCCTATCAAGGCAAGTGAGAAAAATAGCATGCTATCGGTTGAATGGCCTAGAAAAAAATGCCAGGCTGCGAAAAAGGAGAGGGACTAGCGGCCCAATGAAGCATCCTACAGGTCTGGGTAGTATCACATCCTGAAGCCATGCTCTGCGCAATTTGACTCTATTGTGAGGTCAAGAGCTTACAGATCAAGCGAGACATCCTGTTTAAGTGGTTTTATAGTCCTCCCGGCCCAATGAGCGGTCCTGCAGGGCTGAGTCCTATCACATCTTGAAGCCCGTGCTCTGCGGCGCATTTTGACTCTATTGCGAGCTCATGAGCTTACTGTGCAAGCGAGAAAGCCAGTCATCTTGCTCGTGTGGTGGAGGTTGCAATCATTGCACTAGTCACCATAGTTGCAATAGTCACACAAACCACATATATCAGGACCACAAGGAGACTCATCTAAATTGTTCATTTTGTTACCATTATTTTTTCATTATATTTTTTTATATTTTTGTTTTTTCTTTGATTCCTTGAATTAAGCCAGCTGTAGGTATAAGAATCATTAATTTTCTTAAAATGATTTATTCGAGATGTGGTTATTGTGGGGACGCTTGACTTGGTTGACAATAGCCCAGTGATTGCTGTTGCATGCACCCTCTGGGCGCTGAGAGTGAACAGCAGTCCCATGGAGGAGTTGCTCACTGTTCCACACTCACATTGTACCATGGTGAATGGAGATGAAGCACTTCAGCTCAGGGCAGAAGAAGTGCCAGTGCTGGGTGCACTCACTGCACTGGCAGTGGCTCTCATGTTCTTTGAGGAGATGAGTACTCATGAGTACAACTGTGGATGTCAGGATATCTGTGGAAGTTGCAACATCTGCAGTGGATCCTGGTGGGCACAACTCCTCTCCTGTTGTGTTGTTTAGTCATGCACATGTGGGGTTCATTGTGCTGATATGTGGTATGAATGTCATGGAATACAACTAAATAATAATAATATATATTTCTATATTTTAGTTTAATAATTGGAGAAATGCAGTGGCTCAGACATAGTGGCACATAGCACTTGTGTGGTAGGTACATTGGCTATTTCTTTCCACAGGGACTCTGTCAGAGGCAAGATTAAGTCAGTGTGCAGGTAGAAGAGTGGCCACAACAGAGAAGAGGTGCATGACAGAGGAGACAAGAGGAAGAGAAGAGGCCTAAGGTGGTTACCAGTGCAGCTTGAGCATCATCAGCACTATTGTTATTGTCCTCCACTTCCTTGTTGTCCTTGTTGTCCTACACAACAGAGAAGAACAGGAAAAGGGGGCATACCATTGCACTGCCTCTTCTCCTTGTTGCACACCTCTTCTTCCCCTTGTCATTGTTGCACACCTCTTCTTCTCCCCTTTCATTGTATAGGAGGAGATTGACATTGACAAGAGACACCTTGCACTCACTGACAATAAGCCCTTGGGTCCATCTCAACAGTACGAAATTCACAATTTTTATCATATTAACACATACTAACATTGAGTCTTCACACAGAAACAAGGGGCGGCCAGGCAAGAAGTCATGGAAGAATGGCAAGAAGAAGTGAGCACAGCAAAGCACTGTTCTGAAGCCATCCACCACAACACTGCTCAACTTGTAATGTTGCAGGAGGAGCTTGACAACACCCTGGCCCTCCTGTCAAGCATTGTACCTGGCCTCAAGAGCTACAAACCCATATCCATCAATGGCAGACATGCAGCACATGCTGCTGAGGTCAAGGCTGAGAGCATTGCACATGTCAAAGATGGCTATGAAGAGCTCCCTCCTGCCACTGCCTGCCTCCTCAACAAGGAGTTTGTCTTGGCCCACCTTCACACCAATGACTTTCCTGACATCTCCAGTACCTCTCATGTGTGGCTTTGATTATCACTTGTCTTGTTATTAATCCCATTCTATTCATAGCCAATGACTTGGCAGACCTCATCAGCATCCTGCATGAGGTCAAGGGACTTATGCCACCCCTGAACTGCAGTTCCATCAAGGAGTGTGGTGTGACCTTTGGGATGGGGCAACATGGAAGTACCACAAGGGTGGCAAGCATGCCTTCCAGTCCTATCTCCTCAAGGCTGGCAAGTATCTGTATTTCCTAAAATTAAAAATTAACAATGTGGGGGAGAAAAATTACGAAAATATTGGATTATATAATTTTATTGGTGTGGTGGAGATGCTTAACCTGGTAATAGCCCAGTGATTCGCTCGCCATGCTGACCAGGACTTCCACAGATGTCATGACAACCATGGATGTTGCAACAACTGCAGAATCAGGACATCCATGGGTAGTTGTGACTTCCATGGTGAACCACAACATCCACAGACAAGACTCATCTCCTGAGGAAGATCACATCACTCCTACAGTGTCCATCCTCAGCCTTGTCATGGTGGGCTGCTGTGGTGTAGTTGAAGGTGTCAAACATGCACATGGTGTTGGTCTGAGCAAATAGGGGCACACCCCTTGCTGCTGCATACCATGGCATAAGTCCCATGACATCACAGAGGATACAGACAAGGTCTGCCAAGTCATCAGCTGCATTGAATGGAATAGGTGTAAAAACAAGACAAGCAATATTAAAGCCACATGTGAGCAGTACCAGAGATGTCAGGAAAGTCAATGGTGTTGAGGTGGGCCAATACATTGTTGTGGAGGCAGGCAGTGGTGGGAGGAAGCTCTTCATAGCCATCTTCAATACATGCAACATTCATTGTGAAGTCCTGCAGCCTCTACCTCTGCAGCATGTGCTGCATGTCAATCATTGATGGATATGGGTTTGTAGCTCTTGAGGCCAGGCGGGCAAGAGTGTTGTCAAGCTCCTCCTGCAATGTTGCCAGTTGAGCAGCATTGCAGCTGATGGCTGCTGCACAGTGCTTTGCTGTGCTCACTTCTTCTTACCATTCTTCCATGACTTGCCTGGCTGGCCCTTGTTTCTGTGTAAAGAGGATGTTACTTACTATTAGTGAAATGATGAGGGTTGTAGTTGCAAGATGGAACAGAGGGCTTATTATCAGCTGCTACAGGGTGTCTGTCCTGACATCAATGTCCTCCTATGTATGTGAAGGAGAAGAAATTTTTAAGCGTGCTTGGGCGTAGGGTGTGGGATCGAGGTCGGTGGCATTGAGGAGGCACTGCATGCTGTTCATGATTGTCTGGTTGAACCACTTGTTGGTTGTGGGAAGAAAGTGTTGGATGGTGTCAACTGCAGGCATCCTTGAGCAGGTAGGTCCAGGACCAGCACAAGTAGCTATCAACAATGTCCGTGAGTGGTGGGGGGAGGCTCTTGCTATGGCCACCCTCCTCTACAACATCATGCCACATCAAGCAAACAAGAACAAGTCCCCTGCAGAACTGTAGGAGGGAAGCCCCCACAACTCTGCCACATCTGCAGACCTTTGGCTGGAGACTTGGATTGACAAGGACAAGGATGCTCAACAAAAAGGTCAAACTGAATTTCAATGATCACCCAGATTCCATGGTCACCTCTGCGCCCTTCCACATGGACCACAACACCAACCCACCCTGCCATGCTGCATCCTAGATTTCGCTTAAAACAAAACAAAAAGCAGAGCTAAAAGAAAAAAACAGAATGATTTCTTTTCTCTGCAGTGGCCATTTTTTTCTTGCTGCAGTAGTGCAGCCACAGGGGAGCATTGTAGCACATTCCAGGCATTCTTTACATCCAGGTTTTTGCACATCACCCTGTTTGAAAGTGCCTTTTCGAAGGTGGACAAAAACCAGACAAAAATGTAGCACTTTCTAAAGAATTCTGGTGAAGTGCCAGAACAATAGGGGGGAGGGGGGAGGTACCATTGGTTGAGTTGTCCACTGTGGCCAAAGGGTGGGCATGAGTTGGTTTCTCTTTTTTTGCCACCTTCACACCACACAGTTTGCCAGTCCCCCCCCTCAACCAGATTGTCTCACAGAATCACAAGGAAGAGAAGTCAGGTTGCATTTATAAGACAAGTAATGTGTGGTGGTTGTGCAAGGCAGATCATTTGGGACTGTGCTAGTGATTCCTAGGGTTGTCAAACCCATTGTGGGGACAACAGAAGCAGGAAATCTATGTTTCCTGGCACTCACCTCACAAACCTCCCCATTTTGTTTTTCATGATTGAACTACATTCTGGGGAGGGGTGAGTAATGCATACCAAGTGCTGCTATCATTCAGAGGGCTGGTACAGGTTTGTGGTGGCCACCTGTGGGGTCGAGGGCTGAGTGCAAAGTGATATGGCAGAGTATCTTTTTCCATTTCCAACTTCTCCTATTTGGTGAGTGGATGTCAGGTGTTGTCTTCCAGGCATGCCCATGCTGCTATTGCAGGGCAGGCTTGAGCACCCTGTTTGGATACCAGCAACCCCAAGGTGTCAGGAGCTGATGTGCTGTGCGCCAATGGTGGATTGAGGACAGCAAGGGCTTAATCAACCTTGGCAATGCAACATTACACCCAAGTCATTATGTTCTGCTCACACCACAGTCTCACAATCAAGCTCAAAAAGCAACCAGTAAAACATTCTCTTTTTTGTGCATGCACCCAATCCAATGCACACAGTTATTTTTTATTGTCAATTTTATTCTATTTCTTATTTTATATTTGTGTTGTCACATTTCCACTTTCCTGTTCCTGTGATCCTGCTAATCCAACACACATCAGATCAGGTATTTCTTTTTTATTGTTAATTTTATTACACAACTGTTTTTTCATGTTGCTTTTGTAATGTGTCTGCTTTCCTGTTCATGTGCATGCAACAATCTAATGCACATCAGATTAGTATGACTGATTATTTCTCTTCTCCTTATGTAGGTTTTAATCTACATGCATGATCTTGGCATCAACCAAAACAACTACCTTCTCAATATCAATGACACAGCAACCCAACTTCACCACTTGCACAGCATCAGCATATTCATCACCAGCAACCCTCAACACCTCATGCCTGCCATCAACCAGCTCACACATCATGCCAACCTTGAGTACAAGCTCACACTCACCTTCCACTTCTCCAAGGTTGCCTACACCTCTGACCACCCAGCACCTGCTCACATCAGTGGCTTCTTCATCATTCTCTTCTGCCCTGCCAACTGCCCCTTCAACACCATCTCCAAGCCCTTCTCCTGAGAGAGAGACAGCTCAGGTTGGTGCTCCTTACTGCTACCTCTCCCACATTCCTCTACCACCTGCCATCAAGGACAACATCAGAGCTATGCCAGTGAGCCTTGCTCTCATGGCCAAGAACAAGGTGCTTCTGCATCCCTGCTTCTACAGCTTCCTCCTCACCAGCATCAACATCCCAGCCACCACTGAGGACCACATCCACATGGTCTATGATGCCCAACCCACCTACAACATGCTGCTTCCCCTCAGCATCATCATGAATGTTACCTCCTGCCATTCACCAACAAGGCCCCCAACTTCACCCACACAAGGACTATGCAACCTGGGCCATACACTTCCTTGCTTGAGGAGTGGATGACAACACCCTCCAGAGCACAACCAATGCCTTCAATACCCTCCACCATCCCCTCCTTACTCCCTATATTCCTCCCCCTAGTCTCACCTCCACTTGCCTAACCCCCACTTCCAGTCACAAGTCTTTCAATTGGTGAGCCTATTTCTGAGTTCTTTTCTTCCAGCCAAACCTCTTTACTCACCCCTCTTCAGTCTAACTTCTACAACCTCAGTATTCCCATACATCACATTTCACAGCAGAGGCACAGGCCTATCATGCAGACAGGGCAGCCCACCTCACCTTGCTGCATCCAAGAGGCTGGCTTACATGTGCACAGCTGGCTAAGTCATGCCCAAGGAACTACATGAGTCTCATATTTTCACTCACTAGTGCTTGGGTGATCTCATTGATCATGCCACAGGGAAGCACCTCCATCATCACCCTCAGTTTGCATGGCCTAAGTACTCTAACCTCATCATCACCACTCTTTTCCAACACCTCAACAACCATGTCAGCTCATATGCCCCAGGCTCTCCACAACCACACACCCTTTGCTTTCCTCAGCTTGCTCACAGCACTTGATATGTTCAAGGAGATCATCTTCAGCTTCCTGATTGTAGGTCACACCCATGAAGACATTAATCAACTCTTCTCCACAGTGCAGACCAAGTTCCACTCAGCAAGTGTTCACACCCCAGTGTATGTCAAGTCCCTTGATTTGGCTCATGCCCCTCACCCATCTCATCAACTCTGACCCTTCTATTCTCTCCCCATCAACTTGACACCTTTGGTCTGTTTATGCTGAGTGGCATAGGGATCATTGGCAGGACCATGGCTCATCTTGCCCACAACACAGTCCTGGAGTTGACCATGACACTCTCAAAGAAATATATGCCCAACTCTAGCAGTCTTCTCTCTTAGCATCTTTTGTAATGTACACTTTGTTGTTGATAATTGCTTGATAATCTGTTGTCATGTGTGTACACACCAATTTTGGAGTGCACAAGGCCAGTGGCGGAGGAAAAGAGAATTTCTGTCATTTTCCCTCTCCGAGTACTAGTTTTGTTGCCCGCACAAGAGGAAGATGGAGACGACGGACGATTTTGTGGAGGTGGAACTGCCCGACAACGAGTACTTCCACGAGGGGGTGGTGGGTCTGGCAATGGATATTGTAGCCGATTGTAAAATGGTGGTGGAGACGGTCAATGGGATCAACACCGAAATGGAACCCGACACCACCGACACGACCGATGCCATCAAAGAAACCTTCGTGCAGGCCATCAAGCGAGTTCCGCAGAGTGCTGCACGTCTCGTGGACATGACGCACCAGTTTATTAGAGAAAATGCTGCGTTCTACCTTGACGACCAGCAGTATCTGGTTCGCCTTGTTCCCCCTCTTTTTTTTCTTTGTTTCTTGTTTTTAAATCATCAAAAAAAAACGCGTTGTATGGTGGCAAATTATCACTTCAAACCGCATCAATTAAGGTTCATTTATGTTTATTTGTTCTGAATTATTATTTTCTTATTTAAAACCCAACAAAACAAAACAAATCAACAGGATCTGTTCAAGATTCTGCAAGCCAACACGCGAGCGGTAAAGGAAAGTGTGTTGCTGCTGTTGCGATTGGCCACGGTGTCGGTGTGGACCACCAAGTCGGCCGCCACGACGGCCAAGACGCAGGGCCAGCTGGAGACCTACTGCAAGAACGTCGCCCTGGCCATCAAGAAGGTCCTTCTTCCCTCCCTCCCAGCGCTTAGCCCTTTTCTCGGCTCCTCCTACGACTACTCACACCGGCGGCCGCGTGTCTGTGCAACGGTCTTCCCCCTTGGGTTCCTCCTGTGTGACCACCACCACGCGGCGCTGGTGTTGCGGCAACCTGCATCACGTGCACATGTTTTTATATATATAATATATATATATAAATGTATATAAACATGGATATATATATATGCAGGTCATCGGAGCGGCAGATCAGCTGCGACTGATGCAGGAGCAAGAAGAGGAGGGCCTCATCGAGGAAGAGGCCGAGGAGCTCGCGCGTCTCGTCATGGACAAGACCGTCCAGGTGCGGGGCGGGAGCGCCGTGTGCGTGTGTGTGTGCGTGTGCGTGTGCGTGAAATCTGGCCAGGATGGTGGTCCTCTCTGCGGACGCATATGGCCACACCTCCCGAGGATCTAATGGCATCGCCCTACCTTGGCTCTCTCCTCTATCTCCATTGATATATCCGCACAGCTGGCCCGGGCCGGTTCGGCGGCTGTCAAGGAGCTCGTGGAGGCCACCTACCAGCTGCAGGACAGGGAGCACTTTGTCGTCGCCGTCAAGAGCACCCTCCAGGCCATCACCCCTTTCGTTGGTGCGCCCTCTCTACCTCTCCTCTCCTGTGGTTCGTCCCTTTTTGTGGGCATCCGTTGGACCAATCCCGTTGGACGATCTCTTCTGTTGTTTGTTTCTCATCGCGCTGCTCTCTCCCCCCACGCGCGCGGGCAGATTTCGGGGCAGCGCTGTCCTTGCGAGAGGCCGACGCCCTGCGCAAGGCTGCCTTTGATTTCCTCACCGCCGCCAAGGCCGCGTTCCAGGTTTCACACCCCCCTCCTTTCGTGCTACCCCCCCCCGGGGGGTGTCCCTCCTCCGCCCGCCCCCCTTGCTTTTTAGAAGAGGTGATGCCCAACGTCGATATGAGCCTGACCCCGGCCTGACCCCCTCCCCCCTCCTCCTACTCCTCCTTCGACGTCGACATGTCGAATGCAACGACGAAAAGGCGCAAAATGACGACGCCAGCTTTGCGCGCCTGGAAAGTGCCAAGGACGGGCTGGCCGAAGCCATGCGCGCGACAGTGCTGGCAGCCCGCGCAATCAACACAGAGGACATCGTACGCAATCAGCTTGCTCCTGCCGACGCGTTCGACGACGGCGCGGACGAGGCCGAGGAGGAGGAGGCCGAGGAGCCCTACCTGGCCCCCGCCCCCGTGCGCCCTGCCGCCGCCGCCGCCTCCTCCCCGCTGCTGATCGGCGCCCGCCAGTCCGCCCCTCCCGGTGCCCTCGCCCATCGCCTCGCTCCGCCCGCCTCCAACGGAGCCACCGGTGCGCTCCTCCCATCCCATTGGGTTCACCCATGCGTGCACTTGGCGTGCTCTCTCCTCTCATCCCTCCTCGCTGGCTCCCAATAATAATAATAATAATAATAATAATAATGCTGCGCTCACTCGCCGCGCCACGCCAGGTTTCCGCAAGCAGACTCGAACGCAGAACTCCCTGCCCCCGGTGATGAATACGACGATGCAGCTACAACAGCGACAACAACAGACCCTGCACAGCGAGGGCGAGGACGGCCCTGGCAACGCAGACAAGATGCGGCACACCACCATGACTGGCCAGCACATCAACCAGATCCAAGTACTTACACGCCTCTCTCTCTCTCTCTCTCTCACACACACACACACACACACAATGTCGGACTTCTACGCACGCACCAGCTGCCCCAGAAGGAGGAGGGATAGTGTACTGGGAGTGGCAACTGACACCGATGAACAACCAACAACCAACCAACCAACAACCAACAACAGCTGCTGAGGCAGCACCTCCAACTGCCCCCGTCCGAAGCGCAAGCCGTGGTCAAGCGAGGCACCGTTCGCAGAAAGGTCCGCTGACGCGCCTCGCCCCCCCCCCGCCCTCCAACGCAGCTCTCCATTCCCCCGCGTTCCTACTTACACTGGGCGGGCGGGCGTTCCTCTGTGGTTCTCTCAGGTGGCGGCCAGGAAGAGCGAGGAGCCGTTGGCCGTGGACATGGCCAGATACGAAGCCGAGATCAAGAAGATCGAATTCCTACAGGTGATCCGCCCACACGCGACACACACACACGTTTGGTGGTCGCGGATTAGAAGTCTTGTTTGTTTGTTTGTTTGTTTGTTTGTGGGGCGGGGTGGTCCTTGCTCCTTGGGGTGAGGGGTTGGCGGTAACCTGCTGACTCGCGGGGTGGTGGTGGTGGTGGTCGGGCGCGTGCAGCGGTTCATGCGCAAGTGGCTCAGGATCAGCAAGTTCCGCAACACCGCCCTCAACTTCCTCACCGCGCCCGAGTCGGAGAGGCTCCGCAAGCGCAACATGGCCTTCAGGGAAATCGTCTGCACCGAACGGGTACCCCCTCCCTCAGCTGCCGCCGCCGCCTCACCTTGCTCTGCGCTAGTGAGAGGCCAATACACACATACACACATACACACGTACACACGTACACACGTACACACGTACACACGTACACACGTACACACGTACACACACACACATACACACATACACACATACACACATACACACACATTCCTATGTACATGTAGCTGATAGGGGGTTGTGTCGGCGGCAACCACGACATGCAGGGCTATGTGAACAACCTGGAGGAGCTCGAGAAGCGCATCATCTCCCCGCTCAAGGCCTCGTCGCACAGCTTCATCTCCGAGAAGGAGGTCGGTGTCCTCTTCTCCAACCTGGAGAGCATCACCTGCCTCAACATCCAGGTACTAACTACCGTCACAGCCACCCACCACCCACCGCCCACCACCGAGGACAAGGAGGGAAACGACACCGCCACGGATGGACTGGCTGGGATGGGATGGGCTGGGCTGGAACTTATGCGCCTGGGAGTGGTGGTGGCGGCGGCGGCTGTTGGGTGGGGGTTGCGTTACGTTGCGTTTTACCTCTTATATATATTTATATACATATGCTATGGTACCACAGATCCTGGAGCTGATGGAGGAGCGCATCGAGCAGTGGCCGTGCGAGGGCCGCTTTGCCGATATATTTATTGAAAAGGCCCCCGTGCTCCGGCTCTACACGGACTACCTCAACAACTACGACCGACAGGTGCCCCCCCCCCACCAACCTCGCTTGCTCGCTGAAGGTCAGGGATCAGCCGAGCCCATCGTTGGTCGGTGCTCTGGATGCGTGGTCGTCGTTCTCACGTTGGCTGGGCTGGGTTGTGTGGGAGTCCAGATGACTGTGCTCACCGAGTTGGAGAAGAAGCCGGCCTTCATCCAATTCATCAAGGCCTGCAAGGCCAAAATGAACCTGGGCAACTACCTCATCCTGCCCGTCCAGCGCCTCCCCCGATACGAGATCCTCCTCGAGGGGCTCAAGCGATACACCTCCGAGGAGCACGTCGACTACCCCAACATCATCGCCGCCCTCGACAAGGTACACACATCAAACAAAGCACGCACGCACGCACGCACGCACGCACACACACACACACACACAAAGCACACACTACCCAACTGCACCGTACCACAGGAGTGGCTTATGGCGCTAACTCCAACCGTAATCAACCACAACCAACCACAGGTCAAAGAGCTCAACTCCCACGTGGACAAGAAGAAGAAGGACGAGGACAACCGACGAGCGATTCAGGAGATCCAAAAGGCCGTCTCCGGTGCACCCACTCTCTTTGTCGCCCACCGCCAGTTCATCAGGTACGCGCGAACGCGGCCCTATCCCATCTCCAGTGGCGGTTCGCTCACCGGCCGGCCACACGACAATCACCCTCCTCCCCCCCCCAATAACCAACCAACCAACCACCCACCACCCACCACCCTCCTCGTCGTCGTCAATGCTTGCAGGGGCGGTCTCGTCGACGTGCTGGCGGGGAAGAAGAAGGAAAAGTTCTACGTCTACCTCTTCACCGACATCCTGTTGCTGACCAAGGCCAAGGTACACCCCCCCCCGCGGGCTGCTGCTCCCCCTGCCCACCCACCTGCCACCAGCCGCCACCCACCACAACAATCGGCGATGTCGCTTCAGGCCACGGCACATGCTTCTTCTTCTTCTTCTAACACGACCTCGTGCCCTCGTCATTGGCATCGATGCAGGTGAAAACCGTGGTGCCCGGTGCTGCCCGCCCCAAGTCCAAGCTCAAGGACTTGATCTACCTCAAGGTACCATTTGAAGTGATGCGCACCAGCCAGCCACCAGCCACCACCACCAGCCACGGGACTCACTCACGGAGCACCTCCATTACTGTTCGTCCTCCTCCGCAGGATGGACCTTTTTCAGCTTCCGCCATGTCGTTGGACGGGTCTTCTGCCCTGCGGCTGGTACACTTGCCCCTCCCCTTTCTCTTTTCTCGAACTTCCCCACTCTCCCTCCCCCCTAGCCAATCGGGGGGGGGTTGACCGTCACGGTGTAGTGACCTCTCTCTTCCTCTCTCTCTCTCTCTCTCTCGCGTTGGTTGCGCTGTGGCTGGGCGAATGGTCGTTACAGGTCGGAGGGCGCAAGGAGTTTTTGTTCTGCTTCTCTTCCGACACAGAGCGGGACGGCTGGCAGAGGGACATCGACACCGTCCTGCGAGAGGAGGGCTGGAAGAAGATCTTCTACTGAGACAACGTCGCCTGCCCGTCCATTGCACCCCCGACATACGAAGGCCCACCGGCTTCTCCTCTTCTCCGTCGTGTGTGGCGCGGCGCATCTACCCTCCTCCTCCTCCTCCTCCTTCGATCGTCGGCTCAGCAAGCGGTCTTTGCCCCTCCTCCTAATCCCCCCCCCCCGTGTAGCATATTCCTCTCCGCGCGTGTCGTGTTGTTTTGTTGCTGGCTCGCGTTGGACAAAAAGGGTCGCCCTTTCCTCCATCCAACTCTTGCCTTTCCACCTCCACGCGGACGCTGCCGCCGGTCCACCAGCCAATGCCGCGCTGCGCAGTCGTCAGTGTTTGTACAGCGCCCACGGGATGGCCACGTATTCCTCCCTAGATGGGATGGGCAAGCACCAGCAGCCCCAGCAAAGAGAGAGAGAGAGAGCGTCGGTTAGCCAGGCCACAAATGGGGGGGGGCTGCGTGCATGTAAATAAATGGGGCGGGCGGGCGGGCACACGTGGCGTACCGGGTGCCCTTCGATTGCTCGGAGAGGTGGGGGAGGAGCCAGGTGTCGTGAGACTCCACCGGGCAGTCGATGTACACCCGCTTTCCTGCGATCGGATAGGGGGGTGGTGACCCCAACAATGAGGGTGCGAAGAGGGGGAAGAAGGGGGTCAGCGAGAAGCAGGTCGCTGTGTCCGTGCGGTGGTGCGTGCGTGGTGTGTGCGTACCGAGGGCGGCAGCGATGCCAATCTCGACAAAGGCCCAGAAGCAGTCCTTCTGGTCGGTGAGGCGTGCGTAGAGGACGTCGCACTTGCTGATCTGGTGGCGCGCGTTGTCGTAGAGGACCTGCTTCTCGCGCTCGTCCACGGTGAAGTCCCTCTGCTCGTCCCGCAGCACCGAGGCGAGGGCCGCGCCGCTCCGGGGCTCGTCGTCGAGCTGGTAGAAGTAGTCCACGTCGTGGTCGAGCCCCGGACACGAAAGGAAGTGGGGACCCACGTACACCCAATTGTCGTCCCATTCCAGCTCCAGATCGCGCAGTCCCCGCATCTTGTCGAGCAAGGGCAGCGCCTCCTGCTCGCTCCTCCACTCCAGTTCCTTGAACCGCCCCAACCCGCGCCAGTCTCGGCTCGGCGCATTGAAGAACATCATCTTGCCTGCTACGTAAATGCGCTGCTTGTCCACATGCTCCTTGCCCTCGCCACCAGCAACCCCCGTTGTTGTTTCTGTAGTCGCTGGGGTGGCCACCTCCTCGGGCATGGCCGCACTGGCACCGCTCGTCGGGTGCTGATCATGATGGGGTGAACCCCCCGCAGTGCTCGTCGTTGCCGTGGCTAGAGCGGGATGATCTTCGACCATAGCATCCCCATCTCCACCTTCCTGCCGTATATCGTGCACTGGGGCAGCCGACCCCAGGGAGGGCACTGCTTCGTCCTTCTCGAGTTCCATCTTCGCTTCTTTTCGAAGCCCCAAACGTTTTGCCGCCTTCTGTTCCCTTGTTGTCTCCAACGGTCCACTATTTCAAATGACGCGTCCCTCAACGTTGCCCTCTGGAATGTGAGGCATCCGACTGTGCGCTGAGCCGAGGTGTTGGGTAACGGCACCCGGGTCTGGCCGCCCCACCACACCCCCAGCCCTCGTCGCCATCCCCCCCCCCTACCACAACCACAACAACAATAATAATCTCAACAACATTAAAATATGGAGGCCTGGGACAGTGGGCTGGACGACGACAACGACGATAACGACCAGCGGCAGCTGCAGCAGCAGCACGGCGGCGAGGGTGCCCTCATTGCAGGCCTCAGCGGGTCTCCTGCCCTTCACGTACTGGACCACCACCACCACGACCGCCGCCGCCGCCATCATCAGCATCAGCATGAGGTGAAGGAGGAGGCTGGCCAGCAGCAGCTCGAAGAAGAGGACCCGCTGCTGCAGCCCCCGCACCACGAGGAACCGGAAAAGGAAAAGGAAAAGGAAGAGGAGGAGGAGGAGGACAACAACAATGAAGACAAAGATGAGGAAGAGGAAGAGGAAAAGGAAGAGGCCCTGCAGCTGCTGCAGGTGGGTACGGCACCAGTAGCAGCAGCAGCAGCACGAGGTGGCCGGGGCGTAGACGCACCACCGCCGTCACCGCCGCCCGTGGCGGTCGTGGGAGGCACTGCACCGGCCGCGGCAGCAGAGGAGGGCATCGCGTCGGACGAGGGCGGAGCCACGGGGGACGCTGCCGCTCCCGTCCCCGCCACCAGCGGCGGCGGCAGCAGCACGACGTCGTTCATCGATAGCGTGGGTCCCACCAAACTGGCCCACGTGCTGGCCCAGGCGCGCGCACAGAGGGCCACCCTCCTCTCCCTCACCGGTACCCCACCCATCACCTTCCCCCTCCGCCGCCGCTGCGGCCACCACGCCTGGGCAATTGCAGCGCGGCCTCCTCGTTCTCTCTCTCTCTCTGCATTGGTGGTGCGATGAATAGTGGTGCGCACCGCTCACCACTGTGGTGGTGGCTGGTGGCTGGTGGCGGTGGTACACCGGGGTGTGTGTGCGCGCGCGCGCGCGTGTGTGTGTGTGTGTGTGCAGGGTGCCTGGTGGCCGAGCAGGGTGGCGTGGTGCCCAGCCAGCTGTGTGAGCTGTCGTCGCTGACCCGACTGCACCTGGCCAAGAACCACCTCACCGCCCTCCCGCCCCTGTTCGGCCTCCTCTCCAACCTCGTCGTACGCCGCCCCCGCCACAGGCCCGCCTGCTCCCTACACGCGTGCGTGTGTGTCCTGTGTTGTGTGTTGTGTGACCTCACCGCGTGCTCTGCGGTGGCTGCGGTGGGCGTGCTGCTGCTGCTGGTGGTGGTGGCTGGTGGTGGCTGGTGGTGGCTGGTGGCTGGTGAACATACAGGAGCTGGACGTGTCGGAGAACCGGCTGGCCGAGTTGCCGTCGTCGTTCTCGCGGCTGTCGTCGCTCGAGGTGCTCAACCTGGGCATGAACGAGCTCGCGGGGCTGCCGCCGGAGGTGGGCGACCTGAGCAGCCTGCGGGTGCTCAACCTCTCCTTCAACCGCCTCGCGGCGCTCCCCACGTGGCCGCTGGGGGCCTCGCTCACGGCCCTGGTGGACCTCGACCTCTCGGCCAACGCCCTCACGGCCCTACCCCCGGCCCTCCCGCCCACCCTCACCTCGCTCCACCTCACCGACAACCGGCTCACCGCCCTCCCCGACGACTTTGGCCTCCACGTGCCCGTCCTCCGTCGTCTCGCTCTCGCCCGCAACGCCCTCTCCGCCCTCCCCGCCTCCTTCCCGCGCCTCACCCGCCTCCGGCAGCTCGACCTCCGCGACAACCGCCTCGCGTCCCTCCCCCACGACGCACACCTGCTTGCCAAGCTCAAGGTTCTACCCCCCCATCATCATCATCATCATCCCACCACTACCACCCCTACCATCCACCGCCATATTTTAACCGCCCCGCCATCTACCGGTCTTGGTCGCGCCGTGTCTCGTGTGGCCTCCCGATCCATGCGTGGGGTGGCGTGGCGTGGCATGGCATCACTAATCACCCAACCACCAATCACCAATCAGGTGCTGTTCCTGGAGGGCAATCCCCTGCGCATCCCGGTGCCCCATCTGCCGGAGGGCACGCACCGCTCCTTCGCCACCAACCCGTCGGCCATCCACGCCTACCTCTCCCTCTACCAATACGGTACGGGACCCGCCTCTCGCCTCTCGCCTCTCGCCTCTCGCCTCTCGCCTCTCGCCTCTCGCCTCACGCGCGGCACGTGTGCTGCAGGGGAGGGAGCTGCTGGGGAAGACGAACACACCCAGCGCATGAACCGGGAAAACGCGCGGCAGAGCCTCGAACGCATGGTACGCGTCCTCGAAGGCTGTGCCCCGGTGCCCCACCCCCAAATCCACACACACCACTGCCACTCACTGATGTGCGCGTGTGCGCGTGTGCGTGATCATCGCCAGTTCACGAATATCGATCCCGAGGTCATTAGCAGCGTGCTGGAGGCCTGTGAGGGAAGTGCCAATTCGGCCATCGAGTTTCTTCTCTCCATCAGCGAGACCCCGGCGATCAGGTGCGCGCCCGCTCTCTTCTCTTCCGCCAAAATTTGCGCGCGGCGTGTCGTGCATGCGCGCGGTGGCTGGTATGGCGAAGAAAGCGAGGCGGCGACTGATGGCTGTCGACGCCTCTTATGCAGCGCCGCTGCGGGGAGCGGCATCTCTCCAGCGGAAACCGGCGCCGCCTCGTCCCCCTCTGCACCGGGGCCGGCCTTCTCGTTCAGTTCCCTCCTGCAGGCCATCGAAGAAAAAATCGACGAGAAGATCATCGGCGACGTACGCCCTCCCTGACTCACGCCTCTCCCTCCTCCTCGCCTCGCCTCCTCAACTCCACCGCACACGACACACGCACACACACACATGCACGCACGCACACACATGCACGCACGCACGCACATGCACGCACACTCGACAACCACGACACAGGACGCGAGCAGGAAGGCCCGCGACAGAAGCAGCAGTATGTTCACCAAAGTGCTCAACACCATCAAGGACAAGATCAACGAGAACCAGCAGCTCGACCCGGCCAGGGATTCCGACGACCTGCCCACCCCCGTTCCCATCACCCCAGGTGCCCACCCACCCACCCTAAATCCCCCCCCCCACCGAGCAGGCACCCAGCCAGCACATGGCACATACCAACTAACTACCTGCACGCCCCCCCCCCCTTATTTAAATACGCGCACAGAGCTCATGGCGCACCGGGCAGCCCGTGCGCGGGTGCCCGGGGGACGTCTGTCGCAGTCGTCCACCAACAATTTCCTCGTCTACGAGGTGAGTTCCCTCTCCTCCCCCTTCCCCACCTCTACCTCTCTACCTCTCTCTGCCCCATCCCGGTGGCGGCGGCCTCCATCCACGCATCATTGCCCTTCATCGTTCTCACCACCACCGCCACCACAACCGCCGCCACGTTGCAGAAAGAGAACAACCGGATGCTGCGCGCGCTTTGCTCGCGACCCGAGTTCCGGGATCTGCTGAACGTGCTCAAGGAAAAGCAGGCACGCCCACCACCTCCCCCCTCGCAATCCGGGTGGCGCGTCTTGTCACTCTCGCTCTCTCGCTTTCGGTGGTGACGTGGCGGGCCTGACAGCGTGTTCTTTTCCTCCCCCTCCTCCTCGTTGGGCAGCTAACCCTGCTGGTGCCGCAAGACATCGTGCTCGATGGCGTCGCCATCACGCGGGATCTCCTGCAGACGCACATCGTGCAGTGGGAAGGCACGTGTACCCACCCACCCACCTTCTTTATCTCTTTATTTGCGTATATTTATTTTTCTTACCGTGGCGCATCGCCAGATGAGCAATCGCCCCTCTTCTCGTCCCTGAACGACATCATGGGCTCCCTCTCGCCCGACATGCAGTCCATCATCCTCTCGCTCTCCGGGTGCTCTCTCCGCTCATGTTCAGGACCACACACACACACACACACACACACACACAACACACACACACACACACCACACACACACCACACAACACACACACACACACCACACGTGCGCGCTTAATGGGCTCCCTTGCTCACCCGCAATCATTGCGTGCTCTGCTGCTGCTGCTGCTGCTGCTGCTGCTGCTGCGCGGGGACGTGTGTGTATGTGTGTGTGTGTGTGTGTGTGTGTGTGTGTGTGTGTGGTTAACGGGTACTAGAGAAGGGAGCCGCAAGACGGCTGACATTCTGCGCGAGGGCCAGATGGAGTTTGAGGACATCGACTACGACGTGCCCCTGCTCCTCATATCCTCCCCGCTGGGCCATGTCGACGTCCTCGCCGCTGCCGCCGCGCCCACGTCGCCGTCCTCGCCCGGTACCCGGCCTCTCGACATAGACCACGCCCATCCGGAGGCTACTTCGCCATCATCTCCCTTTCCTAGTGGCGAGGCAGCCGGATCACGCGACAGCGAAGGTGCACGCACGCACACACGCACACACGCACCCAGTGCGGTACCGGCGGTGGCCCAATTCTCCTTTCCTTCCATTCCTACATGCTGCATGCGTGCATGCTGCATGATGATGCCTGATGCGTGCATGATGCCTGATGCGTGCATGTGCGTGGCGACAGTCATGGCGGGTCGCGTGTACTCGAGCACAGCGCAGTTTGATCTCCGCCTGGCAGCGCCGCTGTCCCTCGACGCCTTCCTCACCAAGCTGCACGACAAGAACACCCGCCAGCTGCGCATCACCATCGAGAGGTAACCAACCACCCCTTACCCCCGCCACCAGCCACCACCGCACGCCCTGCTGCTGCTGCTGCTGCTGCTGGTCACTCTCGCTGTTTGCCTCACGCTCCGGGGGGGGGGGCTAGTTTCGCTCGCTCTATCCAGAAGAGGAAGCTGGGCACCGACGACAAGGAGCAGATCCTCTCCTTTCTCAGCCGGTGCGTGTGGTGTGGCGGAGAAACCTAGCAATTGCATATAACACATATGACGTGGCGGTGTTGTGGGGGAGCGCTAACCGATTCACTCACTCACTCACTCACTCACTCACTGCTCCTGTATCAACCCCCCCCCCGCGGATGTTGTGGTGTTGGGTGTTGCGCAGGACGCGGCAAGCGATCCTTAGCCACCCCCTGTGGCGAGGCATCTCGGCCAAGGAGGCCGACTACACGGCCCAGGCACTTGAGGCGGTCGTGTACACCAAAATTTACAAGAGGTACCGCCCCATCGACCCAAGCACCACCAGCCACCAGCTACCAGCCACCACCAGCCACCACCACCAGCCACCACCACCAGCCACCACCACCAGCCACCACCAGCAGCAGCAAGGGCCGTTGCTGACCAGGTTCTGTTTGTCTCCTCTGTGGTGGGCGGCGTGCGGCGTGGGTACATGCGCAGCATATTCCTGTCGGCGTCGGATCAGGAGAGGGACCGCATGCTGACGGAGAAGATGAAGAAGCTGGCCTTTGTCACCCCGGACATGCTCGGCATTCCTCCCCGATTTTGCAAAAAGCGCATGTGGGCCGCCGCCGAGAGAGGTACTCCTCCTCAGAAGAGGAGCCATTCCCCATTGCCCCCCCCCCAATTCCTCCTTCTCCTCCTCCTCCTCCAAACATATGCGCCCCCCCCCGACGGACTCTGAACCCGTGCGTGTGCGTGCGGGGGGTGAGCAGAACTGCTGATGATGAACTCCGTGTGCTCTCCGACCGAGAAGCTCCGGGCTCTCCTCAATGCCTGCCGACTCATCATCGGTACGCACCTCGCCTCGCCTCGCTCGTGGGTGGGTGGTGGGTTGGCGGTGGGTTGGCGGTGGGTTGGTGGTGCACACACGTGTGGGCAATCTGACGGCCTTCTGCCCTTCTGCCCTCATCCTCTGCACCACATTCCATCCACCATCCATCCATCCATCCATCCATCCATCCATCCATCCATCCATCCATCCCTCCCTCCATATTCCACATTCCATACTCCATAAACGTTATTAGAGCTGCTCAAATCGCTGGATAACACGGCGGGTGCCGACGACTTCCTGCCCCACCTGTGCATGGTGGTGCTCCGTGCCTATCCGCCCCATCTGCACTCCAACGTCAGGTACGACGACCACGACGACCACGACGACTCCTGCTCGCTGCTGTGCCGATATGTCTAATCTGCTTCCGGCCACCGCCATACCGCCACCGCTCCCTCAAGGTTCATTGCGCGGTACACGGCGCCGGAGATTCTCGCGGGGGAGACGCTCTACTACTACACCCAGCTGGTGTCCGTCATTTCCTTCGTGGAGAACATCGATGGCTCCCACCTCAACATGCAACCGCAGGTGCTGACATCCCCACCCCCCACCCCCACCCGCCACACCCTTTCGACCACCTCTGGTGCTCACTCAGGCAGGCATGCATGCACACATGCAGGACTATGCTCGACTCTACGACGGGGGCGGAGACCGCAGCACCCATCCATCACAACTCCCTCGCCCGCACCATGACGCCAGCCAGGCTGCCGCCACGGGCTCCCTCGCGCTCCTCCGTCCTCAGCGCGTGGGCGCGAGTGTACGTCCCACCTCTTCTTCTTCTTCTTCTTCTTCTTCTTCTTCTTCTTCTTCTTCTTCTTCTTCTTAGTATTATTGGCCCACCCACTCACCCACCATGGGGCGGTGAGTTGTACCACTGCCGAAGAGCGAAGGGTGAAATTGGGGGGGGGTTGTTTCGTACAACACGGCACGGCGTTGTTTGTCTCTCTCCTCGCTGCCCCTGATCTCCAACGCACCAGCCGCTGATCGTTGTGTGTCGTGCAGGTGCACTCCCGGGAGCACACTCGCTTTTTGACAGCGTCCCTCGAGGACTTGCGGTACAGCGACGTCCCGCAGTTGCTGGCCGCATACAAGGCCCTCGCTGCTGCTGCTGCTGCTGCGCCTTCCCCGCCGCCGGGGACTGCGACTGAGCAAGGTTCGTCGTCATTCTTCAGGCTGCTCCAGTTCTATCCAAGTCTTTAATCTTCACGCGGCCCCTTTCTCCAGCTGCCGACGTGGCCGAGAACGCCGGGTCGTCAGAGGGCGAGTCCCTCGTGGTGGTGAAAGTGAGGTGCGCTGGCGCCGAGGAGAACGGCAAGCTCTTTCGCATGGTGTCTTTCTCTCCGCGTGCCGGCATAGAAGGCCTGCGCGCTGCCATCGCGGGGCGATTGGCACAGAAGCCAGAAGGGGACGATCAAGCCGGCCTGGCGCAACCAGTTGTGGGTAAAATCGTGCTCCTGCCCGATGTTGCCCTGGAGTGCAGTGCTGATGTGCTGCTCCTCCAACCTGGCGACTGCTTGGAAGTCACCTTGTCCATATAATCATCACCAACCATCACCGCGCATAAAAGCCACTTCTTCCCTTACTGCTGCTGCTAAATGAACAGAGATATGTATTGTATCCCACGACGCCCTCTTGGTCAGGTGTTGCATCACAGGCAGGTGGTGATGTTGGGGTGGTGCTGCTGTTTCCCGTGGTGGTGGCTACGTAAGGAGCGGTTCGGGGCTCAACTCTGCCGCTGCGGGGAGTACGGCCAAGTGCTGGGACGAGGAGGACGAGGAGTGGTCGTGCGTTGGGACTCCGCCACGTTGAAGCTGCCGCGGATCCCTTTCTTCCGCTGGGACCCTTAGCCGGTCGGGGTTGGTCGGCATCTGGCCCAGGTCTGTGGGCACACCGAAGGCAAATGGAGGTGGTTCTTTGCGTAGGGCGGCGTAGGCGGCGTAGGCCTCCATGAGGCGCTCCAGAAGGGCCGCCTCCTCGGCCCGCTCGGCAGCCGAGCGCTGCGCTGACGGCGGGGCGGACAACGTGAGCTCTTCGTTGTGGATCCCCTTCGGTTCACCATCATCACCACGCCTACCGGCCTCTTCTTCTTCTTCGCCGGAGGGTTCGCCGAACACTGGAGAGGTGCAGATCTCCATCTCTGTCAGCCATTCCAACGGGAGCAGGTGAAGAGGGAGGTGAAGAGGGTGCGATTGCGTGCCTTCTGTGAACCGAGGCTGCTGTTCTTCTTCTGAGTTGGTGTGGCGGTGCTCCTCGTTCAACTCGATCTCCTGCAGGAGCGCATGGAGGGCAGAGTTCTCTCGCGCCCCAGCCGCTTGAGCCTGCTGCAGCTCCTGCTCCTTCACGGACGTGTCCGCCTCCTGTACCGTTGGCTCGGCTGGCACGCCTGGGTCAACTGTCCGTTGTGCCCAGCACACACACGTTGACAGGCAAGAGAGTTGAGACAGAGCCGGTGAGGGAGAGAGAATGCCGCAGGCGCACCTGTGAGGGTGGTGGGGGCCACCTGCTGCGGCGGCTGCTGCTGCTGGGGGTCGTTGTCGCCCAGGAGCTTGCGCAGGTGGTCGGACGACGAGGAGGAGTAGGCGTGACGCCCGAGGGCCGGCAGCGGCTTCTTGTTCACCCGTCGGGTAACCGACGTGCCGCCCAGCGCCGCCTTCACCTTGCTGCCCACCACCCGCCACCACCCCAGGCCCTGTAGTGAGTACTTGGCCACGGGCTGCTGCAAGGAGGGAGTGCGCACCTGCCCAGCGAGTTCTTGTGTTGGTGCTGCTGCTGGGGCTGCTGCTGCCCGGGGAGCTGTTCGCGCAGGGGAGCCAGGCCGGGGTTCATGCGGCGGATGGTCTCGAACATGACCTTGGCCGTGTTGGCGTTCATGTCCACCTCCGGCACCACCTCCTCCTTTGCCTCCGCCCCTCCGTCGTCGTCGTCGTCGTCGTCTTCACGAGACTGGACCGCGGTGGTGGTGGGCTTGGCGGGTCCCTTCCTGGCGGTGGTCTTGGTCATGAGGGACCCCAGTTCGGCCCCTGCCATCCGTTCGCGAGCCCTCGCCAGCACCTCTCGTGAGGACAGCCTCTCCACCGCCCCCGGTTGCGTGGCCCCCTCCGCCAGCAGAGGCAGCACCAGCAGTACCAGCACCACCAGCATGGCCGGCCACAACCAGGCATGCGCCGCCTGGGGCACTCTCCGTGACGACCCCATCTCTGACCTGCAGCACTAAGTACCCCGCTTGATGCCCCGCCGTGTGTTGGCCCCGAAGCTTTTGTTTTTTTGGGTGGGTGACGTCAGCAGCCCTTTCCTTTATTGGAAAATAAAAGACGGCCACACCCTTGGGGTTGGGCGGATGGGGGGCAGCTCTCTCTCTCTATGTACACGCACCTATGTACGTCCGTCCGTACGTCCTGCTGGAGGACGTACGTAGTCGTAGAGGCGGACTAGTCGGGGAGTACCGACTGCGTTGGCGCTCAAGCAAGAGGCTGATGGGCCTCATGATGATGATGGTGATGGTGATGGGACTGGAAGTAGAAATGATGCGGGCTGGCGGGCTGCTCAATGAGGCTGTTGGATTGGAGAGCTGGTGGCTGGTTGGGTCGCGTTCTCACTGGAAGGAGAACTCGAGGTTGATGAAGTCCTTGTAGAAGCCGTCAATGTTGTGCAGCTCGGCCTCGTAGGAGCACGACGTGCACACACAGCTCTGTGAGGCGTAGGGAATGCGCGTGTAAGTATCATCATCATCATCATCAACTACCATTGGGGGCGCGTGAGTACCTGGAAGGAGGCAGCGGCCTCGTTGGGGTTCTGGGCACGTTTGGGGGGCGGCGGGGTGCGGGAGGCCAGGAGGGCGAGGAGGGAGCCCAGGGCCTGCAGCCGATCGGTGCCGTACTTGCGCAGCACGCGCCTGATCGCCATCGAACGGTCGAAGGACGGCAGGGCCGCGTAGGAGCGGAGGAAGGCACCCGCCGCCGCCTCCACCGGGTCCTCTTCCGACGCCGGGGCCACCGGCGAAGCTCCCTGGCTCGAGGCGCTGGCGACCGGGCCGGCAGCCGCGTGCGGGGTGCGCAGACGCGGGTCGCGCAAATGTTGGAGCTGCTGCTGCTGGTGGTGGGGCTGCTGCTGATGGGAATGGTGGTGGTGGGCCGACGACGAGGACGACGCGCAGGCGGGCGAGCACGGGGACGCCGATGAGCCCGGCAGCGGCGGCGATAGCGGATCATCGGCGGCAGGCTGGGGCCGCTGGGTCTGCAGGGTCGGTGCCGGGAAGAAGGCCGGCATCTCCTTCACGTCGGCCTGCTGCTGCTGGTGGTGGTGCTGCTGCTGGTGGTAGGGGGGGTTGAACTGCTGGTGCTGCAGCTGCAGCTGCTGCTGGTGTTGGTGTTGTTCGGGACCCGGGACGAAGGAGGCCGGCAGGAAGGAGTGGGGAAAGGCGGCCGGCAGGTCCATGAGCATCATCAGCTGCGGGTCCTCGAGAGGCGACACCAGGAACGCGTTCCCATCACCCACCTGCTGCTGCTGCTGCTGTTGGGACTGTTGGTGGTGCTGGGGCGGCGGCGCGTGCGGCTCGTAGTGGTGGAGCAGCTGTTGGGCGGGGGCGGCGGGGGCTGTGTCGGTGCCGTCGTTGTCGCGGGGCACGAGGCGGCAGCGCTTGGAGAGGGCGCCGATGGCGTGGGCGTGGGCCAGCTGGGCGCGCTCGATGCGCTGCGTGCACTCGAGGAGCATGTCGCCCAGGGTGCGCTTCCGACGCACCACGCGCTTGCGCGACGAGCGCGGCTTGGAGATTACCTGGATCGGCTCCGTGAGGGCCTCCAGCACCACCGACGCCATCGAGGCCGGCTCGAGGCCGGTGGCCGGCGAGGGCGCGCCCGACGGGGGCAGCGATGACGTGGTGGCCGGCGATTGGTCGGCGCTGGCCTCGGGGCTCGGGGGTGGGGTGAAGGCGCGCACGTGGGCGACGAAGAGGCGGTTCTGGTGCTGCGAGCTCAAGGCCCGCACCCGCGCGGTCAGCACCGCCGAGCGGCCGTCGTCGGCCACCCGCGTGGCGATGACGTCCAGCGGCGGACGCTGCACGAAGGGCACCGCGCGGCCGCCCTCGCCGTCGTAGCGCAGCCGCACCTCCATCTCGAGCCCGCGCAAGTCCGTCACCATGGTGCCGGGGGCGGTGGGCGACAACGACGACGACGCGTCGTGGTGGTGGTGGTGGTGGTCGTGGTAGTCGTCGTCGCCGTCGGAGCGGACCTTGCCGCAGCGGCGCTCGCTGAGGCGGCACTCGCGCTTGGGGGCCTTGAGGGGCGGGGCCGGGAGGCGCACGTGGATGGAGAAGGGCACCTGCTTGACGATGACGTGGACCTCCTTGGTGACGCCGTTCTCCGTCACGGTCTCGCGGCACGGCTGGGCGAGCTCGATCGAGACGTCGAGGCGCTGGGCCAGCGGGCGGGGGTGTACCACGAGGCGGTGGTACAGGTCGGCGTCGCCGTTCGGTCCGTCCTGACCGTCGAGCCGGTGGTGGGGGCCTAGACCGGGGCGCCCCTCCCCCCTCCCCCCGCCATGGTGCCGGCAATCAATTTCGTCTTCGCCTCCTACGGCGCATCCTCCGCCGCCGTCGAGCGGGAAGGAGTGCCTGCCCGATGGCAGGGTCGCAACGCCAGCGGCGGCGTGATGGTACATCGTCTCGGTCGGCGAACGGAGGAGGAATGTTCGGGGCTGGGGTGGGGATCGAGGGACTCGTGGTAGTCGTCGGGGGGTTGTGTAGGTGCGGAGGTGGGCTTTGGCGAGAGAGCGAAAGCGAAAGCGACGGAGAAGATGAAGAAACTTACTCGAGAGAGGGGATTGATTTAGGCTCCTAAAGGTTTAAGAGCGGTGATGGGTGGTGGGCACGTAGATGAAGAGGTCGACAGTCTGTCTTGGAGTAGAGAGAGCTTGGTCTCTCTCTTGTCGGTCAGAGGGTCGCGGCCAGCAGTGGCCAATGAGCGCGGTGTGACGCGAAAGCGAAGGGGGGGGCTGGTGGGCTGGGGGTGCGTGGAGGTGTGGTGGGCACTTGGGCGGTAAGGAACAAGTTCTAACGCCAAGCAAGTAAATAAATACGCGGCCGAAAAAGACCCGTTGCTGGACAAGCGCGATTGGGCCACGGGGGTTGGGTTTCGGAGTTGGCGGACCGAGACTTGCCTTGTAGGGAAGGTTTGGGAGCGTTCGGTGGAGGATTCGGGAGAGATATAGCTCCCGTAGTGGGGGAACTGGTGCTCTGCATACCTGGGGTACCAGAGAAAAGGGAGACGACGAAGTGCCGTTGCCTGTCCTCGACGAATGGCAATAGCCGGCCATGTGCCGCCCTTTCCGGGAAATCTTGGTTGGTTCGCGATTCAAAACCTGAGCTTGAACCCGGTTGGCTGGTGACCGTAGGGGTCGATGCCCAGCGCGGCGTGCGCGTCCGTCGAGTCGCTCAGGAGGTGGGCGCCAAAGAGGCCGCCCTCCACACCCGGCGAGTTCGGGCGAGGCCGCGTGCCCTGACCAAGAGAGCAGTGCCCACATGACAGACGCGTGGTGAGACGACACACTAGCGTGACGGTCGCACGGCGTGTGCGGTGAGAGTGCGGCTGCTGGTTTACCTCGTGGAGGGAGGGGAAGGTCTGGATCATGCCGGGCTCGCGCGGGAGAGGGGGTTCGGTGAAGTAGCGGTGGGAGAGGGCCTCTCGCGCGGTGATGCGCTTCTTGGGGTCGTAGGCCAGGAAGCTCATCAGCAGATCGAACCCCGCGTCGGTGGTGGCCGAGAACATCCTTTGCCGTATCGCCGACGGGTACGTCTGCAACACGATTGTCGTGAGTCCAATGGGCGATCGATGATCACCGATCGGCGATCATCGACGCTCGTCGGTGCGGGTGGTGGGCGGGTGGAGGGCAATGGTGAGGGTACCTTGAACTTCATCTTCTTGACGAAGGGCAGCTCGCTGAAGCCGGGCCACACGTCGTCGTTGGGCGTGCCGAGCATCTTGAATATTTGGTCGATCATCTGGAGCTCTGTCTGGGCCTTCATGAGGGGCTCCTTGCAGAGCATCTCGGCAAAGATGCAGCCCACCGCCCACATGTCGATCTCCCACGAATACTCCTTGGCCCCGAGGAGAAGCTCGGGCGCGCGATACCTGTTGGCAACCACAACAACAACAACATCACCACCAACGCGGAGGCGGACAAGCCGCGACATTTCAAGCCACTGCGCGCGCTACACGGATCAATCGGCCGCTTGGCGAGGTACCAAAGAGTGACGACGGGCTGGGTGTAGGGGCGCAGCGGGTCGCCGTAGTGCCGGGCCAGGCCAAAGTCGGCCACCTTGAGGATGCCCTTGCTCGACAGCAGCAGGTTCGACGTCTTCAAGTCTCTGATGCGGGCAAGAAAGTGAGCGCGAGACTGCGAAGAGGAGGAGGAGGAGGAGGAGGAGGAAGACGAAGACGAAGAAGAGGAGAAAGAAGAGGAAGAGGAAACAGCGGAAGCTCTTCATGCCACGTCAAAATTTCCGTGATTGTAGTGTTGTGTAGTGTGCGCACCTGTGGAGGTACCAGTTGTCGTGGATGTAGGCGATGGCCTCCAGGAGCTGCTGGAGGAGGCACTTGATCTCGGACTGGAGGAAGGGGTCGCGCATGGCGGTCATGAGGTCCTTGAGGTCGTGCTCGAGGAACTCCATCACCAGGTAGAACGAGTTGGGGTCCTTCCCGATCACGATCTCCTTGGCCCGCACCACGTTCGGGTGGTCCATCTCCATCAGCACCGCCAGCTCCCGCAGCGCCGTCACCGGGAACGACTCGTCGCCCTTGATCTTGAACTTCTTCAGCGCCACCACCTCCCCCGTCTCCTTGTCCTTCGCCCGGTCTGCGCTCGCACCGCGATGACGACGAATAACGGAGCAGGAGGAAAACGTAGAGGAGAGTGAAGAGGAAAAGGAGAAGGAGAAGGGTGAGAAGAGAGTAGAGGCCGACATGATTGACGTCTCCAAAGGGGGGGGGAGTGGCGGGGGGAGGGGTGTGCGTACGGACGACGCCATAGGCGCCCTCTTGGATGCGGTTGAGGCGCTCGTAGTGGTCCACGGAGCGGCAGCTGCGCATGGCGGCCACCAGGACCGGCAGGCCTGCTGCTGCTGCACGCAGCGGCGTTCCCTGGGGGCTGGCAGCTCGCTGCCCCGGGCTCGCCCCCTTTGGCGGCACCGACGATGAGGACGAGGACGAGGACGACGGCGAGGGCGCACGTGGGGCAGGCGAGGCTGGTAGGCCGTTGCCGGCAGTAGGCGTCGCTCCGCCCTCCTCTCGCTCTTTGCCGCCACTGCTGCTGCGAGCCCTCTTGGTGCCCACCGCGGGCGGCGTGTGCTCATCCTCCGCATCGTGTGCTCTACGTTTCGTGCTGCCGCTGGGAGGACTTAGACCCACGATTGGTCCGCGCCCTCTTGGCCGGCTTGGTTGCTGCTGGTCCTCCATCTCCATCATGAACAAGACCAACAATTCTTTTCCTTTTCTTTTCCCGATGCTTTTTTGTTGGCCAACTATTTCCTTTCTTTTTCGGCCGACACGTCAGTGAGGCAGCGTGGCGGAGTCGAGTTGAGCCAGCGAGGGCAGTGCAGCCACCACCTGACCACCACCGAACGTTCCGGGCTGGTGAGTTGATGTTCGGGTGGTGCTGTGCACGTGTGTGTGTGTGTGTGTGTGTGTGTGTGTGTGATTGGGAGTGTACCTGCTCCTGGTACTGGGGGTGTTTGGCCACGGGGTTGCCGTGGAGGTACACCGTCTCGATCGCGGGGGAGCGAATGCAGCGCAGCTCGTCAAAGGAGGCCAGCTGGTTGTCGTTGATCTGAAGAAAAGGTGCGTGCACCACAGTGAGCAACAAGTGCACTGGGCATCTTGAGCAGGCAGGTATGTAGAAAAACGGAAGGGGAGGCGGCAAACCCAGAGCTCCTCGAGAGACGTGAGGTGCTCAAGATTCTCGAGGTGCGCGATTCGGTTGGCCGACAGGTCGAGCGTCTTGAGGGACACCAAGTTATCGAGGCCGGCTATTCGGTCGATGCCGTTGTGAGAAAGGTAGAGCTCTTCAAGCAGTCGCAAGTTATCCAGTCCCGTGATCTCAGTCAGCCTGTTTGACTGCGCGCACAAGTTAAGGAGGAGAAGAAACACTTTCTTCGGCTGGCCGGTAGCGCGACGAGTAGGTACCTGGATGCTAAGTTTTCTGAGGTTGGTAAGCTGGTCCAGTCCCTGCTTTCATGAACGTTCGCGTACGTGCAGAGCAGGAAAGGAGGATTCAAGTCGTATAATAAGCTGAAGCCATAGAGATGCAAAAGGAAGACGCCTCCGCGTACCTGAATGCGTGTGATCTTGTTCTTGCCCAGCCACAGGTTCTCCAGGTTCACGAGCCTATCCAGCCCCTCGATGGTCTGCACCCCACCGCGTGTACACACACGTGAACGCGCAACGTAAGCATCGTTTCCACCGTTTTGTGGTGCACCACGTAAGCGCTCGGCATAACGAGCAAAGCAGCGCTTGGGAGGGGGGGGGACCCGGATTCTGTTGGACCCGAGCTCCAGGGTGGTGAGAGTGGTGAGGGTATCCAGGCCTGAGTAGCAGAAGCGATGATCATCAGCAGAGGAGCCACAGCACCGCAGAGCAGATCATGGCAGAAGCTGGGAAGAAAGAGGGAGGCGGAGGGACTTGCCTTCGATCTTGGAGATCTTAGCAGCGATGAGATAGAGCTCGGTGAGGTGCGGCAGACCCTCGTGCGTCAAATTCTGGATGCGCCGGAAGACGTTGAAGGAGATGTCCAGGTACCTGCGACCACCCCCAACCAGTCAGTTTTGGCGAGTCCCGGCAAGAACGACTCTGTGGCAACAACGAGGCAGAAGAGCATCGAGCCGGTGGTGAGAAGGTACGTGAGGGAAGGAAGGGAGAGGTTCTCGAGAGCGGTGATTTGGTTGTCGTAGAGGTCCAGCTCGCGCAGGCTGGTGAGGGCCTCGAGGTTCTCGATCTTGTGCAGCTGGTTGTTGCGCACCACCAATTTCTGCCCTCGCCCACCACCACCAAGCAAGCGAGCAAGCAAACCGATGCAGCACCCGTCAGTCAGCTGCCCCCATAAGAAAACGTGGCGGGCACAGGGGGTAGGTGCTCACCTCCAGAGCGGGCAGGTTGTCGAGGTTCTCAAGGCGTTGGAGGCGGCAGTGGGTCAAATCCAACTCCTGTTTGGCAAAGGCCAAGCCCTCATCAGAAAGCCGCACCTCGTGGACCAGCAGATCTGTGCCTGCATAAAATGATGTAAACTGTACGAGAGGGTGGGGCACCTTGGTTGTGGGCGGTATGGTGTATCCCTCCCCCAAGCGGGAATGGGGCTTGTGGGACAGGTCCACGTATTCGGCATTCTCCTCGATGGCGAACGAGGGCGTGTTTCCCCTACTCGCGGCTGGTGCACCCTCCATCTTCTTCTACTCTTTGCTTTTGTTTTTTCTTCTGTCGACCAAAAAGGCCGCGAAAGAGAAAAGGCGAAGTGCAATTCGTAAAATAAATAATAACAAACAAATACAAACCCCTCATGCGGGGTCCCTTGCTGCCCGTGGGGGACGCGTCGGGAGCGGAGGCCCTCGAGCACACCTTCGTGGTGTTGAGCGCGGTGTCACTGTGCCTCGTGGCACCGCTCGTGCTCACGTTCGTGGTGTTCAAGCGCAAGTTCCCGTCCTACCTCGTCCTTTCCTTCCTCTTGTGCTCCATGGGGCTCCCTCTCTTCAGCCTATTCAACGCCTTCTTCGGGTTCGTGCTGGCCGCCTTCTTTCTTTTCCCTGCCTCAATTCCGTCAGCTTTCGTTCTTTTAGGTCCCCTCCCGTCTGACTTGGCTGTTGTTGTTGGCGCGCGCGCGTGCGTAGGGTGGAGCACCTGCTACGGGAAGGAGGCGTGGCCTGCCAGGTGCAAGCCGTCGGCATCCAGTTCTTCGCGGCCGGCATCGTGTGGGCCTGGTTCTTCCTAGGCCTCAACCTCTACACCATCGCCGTCTGGCAGGTTCACCTCTGCTCCCACCCGCACTGCCGCTTTCCCCCACACACGACACACACGGCACACGACACGACACGACACGACACGACACGACACGACACGACACGACACGACACGACACGACACGACACGACACGACACGACACGACACGACACGACACGACACGACACGACACGACACGACACGACACGACACGACACGACACGACACGACACGACACGACACGACACGACACGACACGACACGACACGCACTTGCCAATTGCACTGAGGGTGGGTGCAGGTGGGCGGTGCCAAGAGGCTGGGTCGGGTGTACCTGGTCCTCACGTGGGGCTTTTCCGGCATCCAGACCATAATCCCGGTACCCCAAACCCCCGAACCACCTTTCCTCCCTCGCAGCTTCCTCTGCCCACACGAGCCATCATTCGTCCTTTATCTTTCATCATCGAACCACCACCGCCGCCACCACCGCCACCACGATCATGCAGTTTGCGTTCGGGCACACGGGTCCGGCCGGCTTCTGGTGCTGGATCGACTCTGGCGACAATCACGCCTGGTACGTGCACTCACCCAGAACCGTGGCCTGGCGTGTTCTCACGCGCATCGCTTACCACGCGGTATCCGTGGTGGTGGTGGTGTGGTGGTGGTGGTGGTGGTGGTGTGGCAGGGAGCTGGGGTTCTTCTACGGGGAGGTCGGGCTGCTGCTGGCGGTGGGGGTGCTCCTCTGGGCGCGGGTGCTCTACGTGATCATCTCGTACTCGCTCGATCCGATGCGCGCGGGCCTGCACGGCTACCTGCTGCGCCACGCCCTGCTGGTCGCCATGTTCGTCGGCGTCATGGTGGTGCTCTTCACCTACCGCCTCTACCAGATCTTCGACGACCCCCCGTTCTTCTTCCAAGCACGTGCGTGCCCCCAACCGCATTGACGTCGACTGATCGCATGTGTTTGTTGTTTTATTTTGCTCTCATTATGATCATGGTTGGTGCAGTGCACGTGGTGTCGCTGTCGGGGCAGGGCTTCATCACATTCATCTGCTTCGGCATCTCCAAGGAGAACTACAACCTGTGGAAGAAGGCCGCCCTCGCTGGCGCCCGGCGGCTCCGGCGATGCTGTCGGCCGACGGCCCGCGACCCGGCCCCCTGGCGCGGGGACGAGGACACCGTGCTCCTCTCGTCGGACCACGACCCCGACGGTGAGCGGTGATGCTGATGACGATAGGGAACAACCAACAACAACAACATGGCCAACAACAGCAGCAGCAACAACAACATGGCCAACAAGCTACACATCGGCGCGTGCGCTCGCGTGTGTATGTATATTTCCTGTACTTGCTCTTTTCTTTGTCTTCTTCTTCCTCTACTCGTGGGTGCTTTGGAAGCACTCGGGCAGATCGTGCGGGTCGACCTGGATGGTGGCGTGGTTGATGCCGTACCTCGCACACGTCTCCTGCGCAGCGCCCAACACCTCGCGCTGCTCGGCTCCCTCCTCCGCTCTGTTCCCGCACCCTCAACGTGTGAGAGAAGAGCCTCCATTCAATGTATGCATTGGTGGTACAGGTGGCGAGCCGGGTGTGGGGGTACCGGATGTGGCACGACAGATAGACCTTGCCCAGGGTGATCTGCCAGATGTGCAGATCGTGCACACTGCTCACCCCTGCACCCCCCCAACCATGCCGACACACCTTGGGGAGATGAGGAGCTGCTGCTGCCATCACCGCGGACTAGCGGAGAGAGCAGTATTGGAGGAGAGGGGGGAGGGTGGAGTACGAACCGTCGATGGCTTCGAGGGAGGCGTGCACGAGGTCGAACGAGATGTGGGAGGGGACCGTCTCCATCAGTACGCCCAGGATCTGCCGCAAGATCCTGCACGCGCGCCCAACCCCCCCCCAAGTTAATTCCAGTTCAGTTCCACCCGCGAAGGGAGAAGCGTCAAAGAAAGCGAAAACATGTAAAGGGGAATAGCGGGTACTTGACGGTGGTGAAGAGGGTGATCACGCCAAAGACCAGGGACGCGATCGGGTCGGCCAAGTTGAAATAGGTCCGCGAAGCGCTCGGGGAGCCCGTGGTCACTTGGTTGCCCACCTGCAGCACATTTCGATATACGCAGGGGCGGCGTAAGCAACGTGTTCGCGGGGGGGGGGGTGACCAGACAACGTTGGGCCAACAGAACCCACACCCAACGTTGTCTGCATCAGTGCGCGAGCAGGCCAATGATGCGGGTGCTATATACCCATACGACCACCGCGGCGCCGATGATGCCCACCGACTGGATGCAATCGCCAAGCACGTGAATGAGAGCCGCCCGCACGTTGACGTTGCCTGGATGAACACCGCCCCCGCCCACACCACACAAACTTCAGCATCGTGGATACACGGGCGTGCCGGCCGGATCCTCGTGTCACATCTTGGGAAAGGCGCGTCGTCATACCCTCGTGGCCGTGGCCGTGTCCGTGCGAGTGCGCGTGCCCGGTGTGGGTGCGCACCACCTCGACCACCTCTTCGCCTGCCAATATTTATATATAGAAAGGTAGAAATCACCGTGAGTGAGGGGCAGTACTCTTAGGGGGCGAGGGAGGCGAGAGAAGTGTACCGGGGGCGGGGACTGGCGGAGGCGGCGGCGGACCGTGGGAGTGGCCGTGGGGCGCGTTGCCCCACGCCAGGATGAGCGCATCAACGATATTCACCACCAACCCGCACACTACGCCACAACACACACACACACACACACACACACACGGCGCGCGTGTAAGACCATGCGCTCCATCAGAGGCACTGACAAACGCATTTGATTTTGAGGGAGGGAGGGAGGTGTAATGTATACCTCCAATGATGGTCATGATGCGGCCATCGAGAGTTTCGCCCTCCTCTCTGCGCGCAGCACGTCCGGTGACAATTAGTGTACCGCCGGTCGTCGTTGGAAAGGGAATGGAAGGGATGCGGCTGGACGCCGAGTGTGTACTTGATGTCCGCGATGAGTCTGAGGATGGCCTCGTAGACGAGCACGCCCACGAGCGCCCAGATCATCAGCACCGAGGCCAACGCGCCCAGGATCTCTGCCCTGGAGTCGAGAAGCACAACAAACAACAACAACAACAACACACACAGCGAAGATGAGGAGGGTGAGGAGATGGTTGGCCCATGGTTGGAGCTAGTCATGTGGGCGTGGTGGTGGAGGAGGTGGGGTCACCTGTAGAAGCCGAACGACATGCTCTTGGTGGGTGCTCGGCGGGCGATACCCATAGCCACAAGCGACAGGAGCATCGCCGCCACATCGGTCAACTGGCACCGATTGTTCGCGTGTGCGTGTGCGGTGAGTAAGGGCACAATGCAACGAGCGGCTGCATGTGCATGCGTGAGGGGGCCAAATGAAGTGAAGTGATTGGGGGGGGGTACGCACCAGATGGGCGGCGTCTGTGATGATGGCGAGGGAATTGGCGAGTACGCCGCCCACGATTTCGCCCACCATGAAGACCAGCGTAAAGACCGTGGCAACGGTGAGAGCAATCATGGCCTTCCTGTCCCCCGCATCCATCTTGCGCTTTCCCTTCTTCCCCTTCTTCTTCATTATTGTCTGTGTGAGTCAGAGTGCCCGTTCGTTCTGGTGCTGCAGCATGGCAGCCACGCGGCTCGTTCAAAGAAACCAGCGGTTGTACCTTTGAGCCGTGGCCGTGCCCATGACCGTGGCCGTCGTCGTGGGAATGAAGCTGGTGCTACGGCGGAGAAGTGCGGTGCAGCGGGGGGGGGGGCTTACGTGAGCTGGGCAGTGCGGCACAACGTATGCGCAAGGTGGCCACGTCCTGCACGGAACAGGCGTATGCACAAGGTGGCGTACAAGTAGCGGCGCCCTTTCACCTCCAAGCGAGGACCCGCCGTCTTGTACGTTGCCCGGCGAGTAGTGAGCACCCTCCTCCTCATCCATATTTTGAGACTTGTGTAGATGCCGCGTACCCGCAGGCGAGAAAGGGCGGCGGATATCTCGCATTTTCGCCGCTAGAAATCCGAGAGAAACGCTGTGGAGTTTCTTCTTGATTTCTCAACTTTTCTTCAACGAGCAGCAATTAATAACTTCTTTTTCGGGGCGAACAATAGAGAAGGGGGCTGTTAGTGATGGACTCAACAGTGTCGGGACGAGCTTATGTGACGGGTACATGCCACACCACCCCGAGCCTGTTGCTTTCGCCGAAACGGTTTGTTGGGGGGGGGGTAACAACCACCTTCGCCACCGTCAGTGGTGCGGGGGGCCGACAAACGGGGCGACTCTGCCGAGGCCGAGGGCGGGCTCTACTATGTGCTGGCGGCCTCAGACGTGGCCAAGGCCAAGACCCGCTCCGTGCCCGGCCCGACATCCGCCTGGAACGACACCCTCCAGCTGTGCGTGCTCCTCCCCCTGCCCTTGCCCTTCCGCCATTGGCCGTCGTGTGTGCTGAGAGTTAAGGCGTGGCTGGCTGCCTGGCGGATGGCAGGGACGTCGACCACCCGTTCGGCAAGCTGGAGGTGTTCCTGTGGCGGGAGCTCAGCGGCGGCTCTGACCAGTTCCTGGTACGAACGTTCACCCACCACCGCCGCCGCCGCCGCCAGGCCTGCATTCATGCCAACGTGAGGCGCGCACAATTTGTGCTTAATTCAGAGACTGTGTGGCTCGTTTTGCGGTCTTGTGTTGCGTGTGTGTGTGTGTGTGTGTGTGATCAGGGTCGCGTGACGGTGCCGCTGGTGGAGATCTGCGACGGGAAGCCCCATCAAAACGTGCACCCGCTGCAGGGGCGGGCGGCCGAGGAGCACGTGGCGGGCGAACTGGAGCTGCTCGTCCAGTTCAAGTACATCCGCGTACCGTGCCCCCCCTTGCCCCCATCTAAGTCTTCTTTCGCGGCTTGTCTCGTCTGCCACGCGTGCCTCACAAGTGTGGTGGCGGGTACACGCGATGCTGCTGGTGGTGAGCAGAGCTGGGACATTCTGTATCGGGGCATCCAGTACATGTTCGAGCAGCAATGGACCAACGCCGCACAGGCCCTCACCTCGGCCATCCAGTCGTTCCCAGGTGCACCCCTCTCCTCCCCTCCTTTTGTTGCCTTTTGCATTTACGTTTGCTGTAGTAGTTGCTGTTGCTCTGCTCACTCTCGGCGTGGTGGTGGTGGCCTGGTGGCCCTGTGGCCTGCAGATGTGGAGCACCTCTACAGCTACCGATCGGAAGTGTTCCTCCAGATGAACAAGCTCTCCGAGGCACCTCTTCATCCCACCCCACCCCACCGTCATGACCTGGACTAACCAATGCCGTGTGTCATCGTGTCGTCGTGTGTCGTGTGTCGTCGTGTCGTCGTGTCGTGCGTCGTCGTGTCGTGCGGGGCACCACTAGGCGATGGCGGATGCGGGCAAGGTGGTGGACATGAACCCCAATTGGGCGGAGGGGTACTACCGCGTGGGCCGGGCCTTTTTCGCCGCGCAGGACTACACACGCGCCGAGGAGGCCTACCAGGAGGGCCTCAAGAAGAACCCCACCGACCCCAACCTGGTCCAGGGCGTGGAGCTCATCCGACGCAACTTCACCAAGTCCCAGGTGCACCCGCCCCACCCCCACCCACTGCTCAAACGCAACGCATCCTAACCACACACGCGCGCGCGCGTGTGGTGGGGGGGGGATGGTCGCATGCAGGTACGGGAATCGATGATGGCGGGCAAGGCGTGCTTCTCGCGTCGCGAGTTCGTGGCGGCCACGCTCCAGTTCACTCGGTAACCAAACCACTTTTGGACCCCTCGCTCTGTTCTTTTTGATCTGGCGTGGTGCCTTCCCGGAACCCCGAATTTACCCCCCATTCACTCACTTGAATGCAGGGCGCTGGAGGCCAATCCGGCGAGTGCGGCGCTGCTCATGTACCGCGCCATCGCCTACATGGCCAACGGCAACAACGCCCAGGCACAACGCCCCATCTCTCCCCCCCCCTCCCTAACCACCCCCGACCTACTGACGCGATCGTGTTGTTGTTGGTTGTTGGTTGGTTGTTGGTTGTTGTTGGTTGTTGTTGGTTGGTTGTTAATGCCGTAGGCGTACGAGGACGCCATGCAAATCGCCCGTCTCCACCCCGATTGGCCCAAGACGGAGGCGGCCAAGCAGGGCATGCTGGGTAAGCGTGGGCGGGGCAACATCAAGTCCAAGCCCCGCTGGTTCGTCCTCAAGCACCGCTTCCTCTACTACTACGACTCCAGCGCCGTACGCTGCCTCCCTCCCTTCTCCCTTTTTGCCGGTGCCGGCGTTGCTCACGCACGTGCGGGGGGGGGGCTGGGGATTGTTGCGCACTCGCAGGACACGGAGCCCAACGGGGTGATCTGCCTGGCGGGCTTCGAGATCAAACCGGAGGGCCGCTTCGAAATCAACGCCGAGGGCCGCTTCCAGATCGCCTTCCCCGAGTACTACTACACTCCGCACCGCGCGCCAATGGAGGAACGAACGAAAAGGTGGGGCTGACGGTGGTGGCTGATGGGTGACGCAGGCGCTCGTTCCGGCTGAAGGCCACATCCGACGCTGAGAAGGACGAGTGGGTGCGCCATCTCACCCCTCTCGCCGACTCCCCCCTCAGCCTGCCCCTCGACCAGGTGCCCCTCTCCTCCCCGCCCCGCCCTTCCGATTCCTTTGCGCATGGCCCTCTCCCCCAACGCCCCCTTACCTTGTGTGCCGTGTGTGTGTGTGCCGTGTGTCGTTGGCGGTGTCGTTGGTCGTGTCGTGTGTGCATAGAGCGAGAACGTGATCTACTGGAACACGCCGGCCCTGGCCAAAACGCACTCCTACACGGCGCTCCTCGACGCCCTCCCCTCCCTCCTCCCCATCAAGGTATGACCGCCATTCATCACTCCTCTCGGCCTTCTGCTCCCCAACAATCTCCTCACCTCGCGCCACTTCCCGCCTTTGCTGTCCGCATGGCGGCTTGCGCGTTGGCTGGTTGGCTGGTTGGTTGCAATCGCCAGCTGGCCTCGACGGTGGCGCGGCGGATCGACACGGCCCTCACGACCGTCTCCATCAGCAACGCCGACCACGAGGGATGGCTCGCCAAGCGGCGCGAGCTCATCGACGAGTACAAGCAGCGGTACCTCCTCCTCTCCTCCCACCACCACCACAACTCCAAACACTCAACACACTCCCTGGTTGCGACATTACTACCAATAATCATCATCATCATCATCATATACAAGTTATCATCCATAATCATCCTCATCGTAATATAATATATAATATCGCGTGCTTGCGCGCCATTGGTAATCGTTAATGGGCTGGCAGGTGGTTCGTGCTGAAGGACGCGAGCCTGCACTACTTTGACGACCAGCAGCCCAAGGACCCGCAGAACGTGACGGCGCAGGGCCTGATCGAGCTGCAGGGCACCACGCTCAAGGTCACCAGCGCGCTCCTCTTCATGTTCGAGATCGCCCGGTCCGACCACGTCGTCTACAAGCTGCGTGCCGAGAACGCGCACGACTTTGGGGTGTGGATCGACAAGCTCGGCCGCGTGTGCAAGCGCCTCGGCCACCACCTCGACTCGAGTTCCATCCTGCAGCCCTCCGACGACGCGCCCGCCGCCCCGCCCTCGCCCGTCGCCCCGCTTTCGCCCGCCACCTCTCGCCCCGCGCCCGTCGCCGCCGCCGCAGCCGCCGACTGGAACTCAAGCGGGAGCGGCAGCACCAC